ACCACCACCATCGCTGTTCTTCTGGCCCCAACTGCCACCACCACTACTTGCACCACCACCATCGCTGTTCTTCTGGCCCCAACTGCCACCACCACCAGCACTATTCTTCTGGCCCCAACTGCCACCACCACCACTTGCACCACCACCACCACTTGCACCACCACCATCGTTACTTTTCTGTCCCCAACTGCCACCTCCACCGCCACTTGCACCACCACCATCGCTATTCTTCTGTCCCCAACTGCCACCACCACCATCACCACTATTCTTCTGGCCCCAACTGCCACCTCCACCGCCACTTGCACCACCACCACTATTCTTCTGTCCCCAACTGCCACCTCCGCCGCCACTTGCATCACCACCATCGCTATTCTTCTGGCCCCAACTGCCACCACCACTTGCACCACCACCAGACCATCCACCAATTGCTTCTGCTTCAGTACTTTTCTTGCTGCCACCCCACCCAATAGCATGGTTGGCATCACCTGAACCAGTAGTATTCTTCTGCCCCCAACCACCATCGCCTCCGCCACTTGCACCACCATCACCTCCGCCACTTGCACCACCAGACCATCCACCACCTCCTCCTGCTTGAGAACTTTTCTTGCTGCCACCCCACCCACTACTATCTGCGTCCTTGTTTGCATCACCTGAACCAGAAGCACCATTATTCTTCTCCCCCCAACTGCCACCACCACCGCCACTTGCACCACCACTCCAACTGCCACCACCGCTACCGCCACTTGCACCACCACCCCAACTGCCATCACCGCTGCCGCCACTTGCACCACCACCCCAACTGCCGCCACCACCACTCCAACCACCAGCGGAAGCATCATTGTCATCCTTAGAACCCCACTTTTGACCTCCATAACCTGAATCCTGCTTTTCATTATCAGAGTCATTTCCTCTGTTGTCATATGACCCTCGCCCCCGTCCTCTTCCTCTCCCCCGGCCGCGACCACGACCACGGCCACGGCCACCGTTATCATCTTGATTGTCATTGTTCCCATAATCACCTCTACCTGCAAACCGTGAAAAAAATACAGGGAGAAAAAGATGTTAGAAAATGAACAGAATTCAAAGACCTAAATAACTCACTTGCCTGAATACTACCTGTCTTCAAATCCCCAACTAGAGACGTAAACAGTTAAAAGGTCATGTTTGACAGCTATAAGCTAGCATATTTATTTAGTTTATTGAAAAAGTCCAGTTTGGTAAAGCCATAAGCTAGCTTTTTCAGATAGCATTTCAAAAAACTTAAAAGAGGTTTTTTTTCACCTTTTTCCAGTTATGCCCCTTATATTTTATATAAATGACAAAAAGAAACATTTCCTTTTAGGTCTTCTTACATTGTATTCTAGCTTACAAGCTAGTTTGCTAACGTGACTCGCTTATCAGCTAACGGTCAGTTCATTAGCCAACTAGTAACTTATAAGCTAGTTTGCCTTGCCAAAAACTAAAAGACAGTAGTAACAATTCAACGACGTAGAGTTCGTGCAGTAAAGAGAAGGATGTGAGACAGTTGTCCAAATTACCAGCTCTACCCCTGCCGCCACTTTCATTGGTGTTAGAGCCACCCCAACCACCAGTTGTAGCCGAGCGCATTGATTCACGGGGATCATCAATGTGTTTTTTGAAATATAGTACAAGTCGATCAATTTCCTCAAACATCGTCTTCCGGAATCTAAACCCTTTTGGATACAGCCCAATATACTCGTGATGTGCATTCGAAGTCCGTATGTATGTTAGAATGAATGCACCTGGATGTTCATGAGATATACCAAAAGAATAAACAATCCTCGAAGGGTGCTCCAATTTTTCTTTCCTCAAGATATCATCCACTTCCGCTTTGGTCCCTTGCTTAAACATTCTGTAACCTAGCATTTTCTTCAGATTAGCTACCAAGGGATCGACATATCGAGAAGTTACCTGCATTATTAAACAATTTGGTTGCAAATTATCATTACAGAGTAACGACAGGAATTAAGCACCACTAATAACTATTTTCAGATTGCAACAAACAGATAGTCATCCGACATATGACCCAACTAATCTATATAAGATGGAACACTATAAACGGCCCATTTATTTCTTGTACTCTCACCTTCACCCGCCCTTGAACCTCCCTAAACCCCGATCCCCCTCCCCCTAAATAAAAGAGGGATTCCTATATGGAGATAGGATACTGCCATTTAAAAATAAAAGGGGGATTCCTATTTGGGGAGGTTTGTCGGTGGAACAAAAATCTATTGTCCCCAAATTCCGTCCACCAATCACGTAAATCCACACCATCCATTTATTCAGGGAGAACGAAAAGATGGATTAAATAAATTCATATCAAAAAAATAATCGTGTCTTAGAGTAATTGGTGAGACATGGAATTCGGGGACAATCACTCTACTAGAACTCATGTAACAGGGTTAGATCCTTAAGTAGTATACACAATCACTCTACTAGCACTCAATTAGCAAATGCATTGAAATTGATCATTCAACATGATGTACATGTAGAAATATAGGCAGGTGATATACTGAATTGTGCTTGTGTTAAGATAGCAATAGCAGTTGATCATAATTGAATAGAAATATGACATCAAAAGAGAGGGATAAATTATCTGAAACTAACAACTCAATTCTCGATACTCAGTCATCGTTGTAGAAAAATAAGCGTCTGAAACTGAACAGACAAACAAAATACATCCAAAAGAAAGAAACATAGTCTGCAGAGTCCTAAGACAGATCACCAGTACAGGGAGTTGGACCAAATATCTTGAAACACATCAAAATCTCACAAAAAATATCAACCAAGAAAAGCTCGGTAAAGCTCGTAAGACCATGAAAATTGCATACAGACAATGATGAGCAAATAAAGACTCATGAGCTGTTGAATGCACCTTTCTTCTTTCGTTCCTCCCTTATTCCAAATACAGAAGTGTTGTAAACTAAAAAAAGGAGTCAAAGTGGATTGTCCCATACTAGCACCATGAGATTTCAAACCAAAAACAACAATGACACCCTATCGAAGCTAACCATGTTCAAAGATATGTTGTTACACAAGGTGGCTGCACTCTGTTGGGTTTCATTTTAACCCACTCAAACCATAACGGAATAAAAGCTTACTAGTGTTGGCGTCGATTAATCCAATTCCAAAAATGATGTAGCATGTTATCATGTCATATTCTTAATGATAAACTGACCTCATCAAGATCTGTAAATACATCCTCTCCTATTTTGAGTGTCTTCCCGAGATGAAGCAAGCTTGTAATGTCTGTATGATCTTTTCCACCTTCTAGAATGTCCTTGTGAGCGTACACCCCATTGTAAACTTTGAGCGTCAAGGTTAAATATGAGGGTCCACGAGAGCTGGGACGGAGGATACTCTCACCAAGTTCTTTTTCAGAGAGCAACTGTGAAATAAGTAAATTAAAGAACATCAAAAGGTATTAATAATGATACAGTTGCAGTAGCAATAGTAATTAAATTAACAATCTAACAAGTGTCTCAACTATCTGTGTTTCCTGTGCTACTCTCTCTGCCTACCATCTATTCCTTGTCTCCAATCTCCCACACTACAATTTCTGAGGAATAAATATGAATGATTTACACTAGTCGACTGCCTTCTGTTTAATTCTCAAAATTTTATATCAAAACTTAATGGCAATACCTACATAATATGGCATAATGATTCAGGGATGGCCCTGGGGGTGTGCAAGTAATGTGCCGCACGGGCCTCCGATGCTGAAGGCCTCTGGCAACTTTTTTTATGTTCTATAAATCATAAAATTAGAATTCAAAAACAAAAAAACACATTAGCGTGCATCAATTGCAAAGTAATGGGCTTGGTAAATAGGTTGAGTGTTATGGTTATTATATCAAAACCACTACCATCAGTGTACTTTTAATTTTCAATTTTTTTGATTTAGGGTTTTATTTTTATTGGGCCCATTTGATTCTATTTTAATGGTCAGTTTGTTTTTTATTTGAATCCTGTTTATAATTGTTTTATGCTCTCACATATGTTTTAAACCTTGAGAACTTATTTTTAAATTTAGCAATTAAGAATTTAATATATTAGATATTTGAAATAAAAAAAAATTAATGGGCCACATTTAAATTTTCATACAGGCCTCCAAAATGTCAGGGCCCAGCCTATTTGCACTTTAAACCCATCATCCAGTCATAGACATATCAAACAGCATAAGCCTCAATTGATAAAAAAAAAAAGCAAAGACACCGAAAAAGATTAGGAGTCAAAATTTGGATACACTAACCTCTAAGGCTTCGTCTATTGTAACATTCTTGAAGCGAGGATGAACAATCATCCTCGGCTTGAAAAGCTTCTTTGCTAGCTCCTTCACCTTACAAGGCTTTTCCTTCACACTCACAGAAGTGTCACGAACTTCATGATAGTAGGGATCCATGGCTTGACTATTCTCGGTCCAATCACTCTTCATGTCATTTTCCCTACAGCTAAGGAAAACCTGGTACCTATCTTTTGCAATCGATTTGATTTTGCAAGTCAAAATATCACCTTCCTTCAACCTCTCGGTCAAATCATCATCCTTACAATCATCACTATAGTCTTCCTTGTTGAGCATACCACTCAACCCTGATTCAAGATTACATATTGCCCTCTGAGGTAGTACTCTGCGAATAGTAACCCGCACAGTTCTTCCTTCCGCAAGGCTATTCTCTGTCTCCCCAGAAATCATACAGAACTCTTCATCCTGGCTCGGTTCCACATATTCCCGTCGCCAGTCCTGGAAACCATGTATCAACTCCTGTTTTATAAGACTGAGGGTGTCTTTCTTAGTTTCCCGTTTTTTAGATTTGGCATATGCATCAACCTCAAGACTCTTCAACAGGTTAGGATTTTCTCTCACATGCTCTATTGCTGTCTCGAGCATATCATCATCATCATCGTTTACATCATCTTGGGCATCTGCACGATAAATATCTTTAGCTAACTCCTGTGCAAGACTATATGATTCTGGGTGGATTCTTGTATCATCTAATAAATCAATAAATTGACTACTACTAGTGGCATTCCCACTTCCCCGAACACGTAAGAAACCAACAGCATTTATGAAGACCCTTCTGCCAAGACCATGGTTCAACAAGTCCTTCCTACTGTATATACAACCAGCTCTCACTAAAGATCTCTGTAAAGAAGCAGCCTTCATGGGTCCAAGCCCAGAAATGAACTGTAGAGGAGCAAACAACCATTCATGGTTTACAGCCAAATTTACATCAAGCCCCACTTGGTTGGTGACATCTACCATGACTTGTTCAACCATGCCATACTTCTCATCAGAAGTAATAAAGCTCTGTAAAGGGCTAAGTTTCCACGATAATATCTCTTTCCCTGACCCGCAAAGAGTTGCAGCCATTGCTAGTGGATTTTGAAGATAACGTCCAAGGGAAACAGCACGCTTAACAATGCCTGAAAAAATTTAACCATTCAAAGTTAGATATGAAATGAGAAGATTCCATTCAAGATTAACATGCAAGTTACTTGCCAGATCGAGACTGAAGCTGCTCGGATGATATATGAGAATTTTCATACAAGCGTGGTAGAGACTCATCACCGTATACAACACTTACGCCATCCATATTGTGGCCAACATCTCTAGAGTTGTCTTCTACCATCTTGCAAATTATCTGACAATATTAACAGAATGATATAAATGAACAATGTGTCATCTTGGTAGCTTGAATTACATGCCAAAAAAGAAACAAACAACATAAAAAAAGAACTAGAAGCAACTAGATCAGAACTCAGAAGTAACTCAAAAAACCTACTGATGTATTAACCACCACAGAAAATCTTAGTAAATAGCCAAGTCATTCCTTAAACTATGAAAGCTAAAATGTTTTAAATAAAACAAGTCACCTCATATATATCCTCCTTCAGCCGGCTACAAGGCACATTCACAGCTCCCAGAACGACAACATCAGGTAGGTGATCTGCCATGAATTTCACAATGCGTTGTTGATCATTTTTCTTGCGTTGCTGGTCATTGACACTTTGACCACGTACACTTAGGCTACCAGCATATAACACATCAAGAACTTCGCCAAAAGAATCCAACATGACAAAGGTGGTTGCAGGCCTTCCAGGTCCCCAACAGCATGCCAGAACTCTAGGTGCAAGTCCCTTCTTCTGATAAGGTGCCACACAGACTTTGTTCCATAATACTCTTCCATATTCCATTAATAACCAACTTTTTGCTCTACTTATCAACAAGGCTCTTGCCTCCTTCTCCATAGAAGGTATAAGAAAATCATCAAAAGCATCTTTCAGTATCTGCTTCCGTTGTTCATTCCACAATTGAGAGGATTTACTCACCCCACCACTAAGGTAGAAGTCACGAGCATCATTAATCAACTGATCATGGATAGGCGTAGGAAGCTTAATAGAAACTTCAATAAGCTTCTCCTCCTCAGCTTTTTGAATAAGAAGCCACTGTGCATCCTCGAATTTTGTCAGAGGTTTGTCCCTCAACCACTTGATCCCTGCAAATTGATGACGTGAATCTATGTCCACATTTCCCTCAGCAGTGGGACTTGTTGATAATGTTGCATTATCCATAAAGATTCTACGAACATGTTTCCTGACAAATGGCTCACAGCTAATCTCAACAGCAGCCTAAAAATAAGAAATTGAACATGTGCAAGCCAAATTAAGCATACAATCACAACCAAGTGATATATTCCCTACATCCCAAAATGTCCACGATTAACAAAACACAGTATCATTACACTTTAATCAACTGAATGGCAATTTTACCCCTAGTGATAGAGGCAAACATTCTCTCTCTCTTTCCATCTCATCAACTCTTAAATATTTGTATGTCATAATTAAGGGAAGAGTTGAAAGTTTAGTAAATTATAACTATCGTTTTTTGAAAGTACACTTCTTAAGGGACAAACTTAGATTGAAATGTGGACATTTACTCTGGAACGGAGGGAGTAACATGAGAACAAAGAAAGTAGAAAATAGAACACAGTAAGCAAATAAACAAAAGGTAAATAGCTACCATACCATGTGTCTAGCACCTTTAAGCACAGCCTGTGGATTCTCGAACTTTGCACATGTAAACCTTGATGCTACCTCTTCTGGCGTTTCCTTAGCATCCTCTAGTTCATCCATTCTCTGCATAAACTGGTGCATTAGAATCCAATATTCCATTCATTTATGAAAATGGCATGGAAAAGTACTCTGCTTACCATTTGTTCAAGAGAAATCCGTAATCCAAATTCCTCCGAATTATACCCAAACTTGCTAGCAACTTCCCGCAGTTCAGCTTCACTGCAAATGCCATATTGTGATTTTCTTGTTGGCCTCTTAAATTCCCCTTTCTCCACGACCACCTCACCTGGCGGGAAGTGAAGGTTAAATTTTGAGTCAACGTCGTCAATTTCCCTTTCTGTCTCAGCTACTTTGAGAGACTTGGTAATCGACTCAAAAAATTTCTGATCCAAATGAAGGCGTGTCTCATCATATATGCTTTGTTCTTCTTCAAATCGCTTATTGTAGTATAACTGTAGAGCACTTTTCCGTTTTTGAAATAATAACCACTTTCTGTCCAACTCCAAGATAGTCCAAAGTACCTGCACGAATATCCCACCTCTTATAAACCTTGTCTGTCCATTCATTTACGAATGATAACAAATCTTCACTTATTGTCAATTACCTTGTGCCACCTCAAAATGGGTTTTTGGTCAGAAGTATGTTGACTCTCCTCGTCACCTTCATGTAATTCTTGATCCTTAAACAAGCTATTGCACTCCTCCTTCCTATACATAGCAATAAATGGTACCTGATACAAGGGTAAATACAAATTTCACATTTCCCCACAGAAAAGAGAAGTAGAAACTTACAGTTGACAATAAAGATGAGATGAAGACTTACATCTAATTTTTCAACATGGATGAGCTCCAAAAACCTCTTAACATCATCCTTAAGTATCGACAACTCATTCCCTTCTTCAGTTGTTCTACTACCTCCTTTGACAAGCCAAGGTACCATGCCCATTCTAAGTTGATTAAGAATCCAGTCACTCTCCCTGTGTATACTCGTATCATCTGTTGGCCGAGGACCTGTGCTTTCTTCAGATATCTACAACAAAAACTTGGGACTATGATCAACTAAACCAAACGAGCACCATGGGAAAGTAACAAAAAATACATTAGCATTGCAACCTGAATTCTTTCTGGAATATCTATCTTCCTAATATGGTCATCCTTCTTGGTCATGTACTTATCTGAAAGAATGATTGGTTCAAATTCATCTTCAAGCTTCTTTTCCTTCAATTTAGTGGCTTCATCATATCTGCTAACATTTGCTGGTTCTAACTTGTATTTTATCAAAAGATCATCAAGATCACCAAATATGTCATTAGCACCCTGCATCGAGGATGAGGAAACTCCTGGTGCCTGCCTGGATTTTTTCTTGTCTACCTTAGCCTTCCTGCATTGCACACAAAACATCAACAGGGAAACAACAAAGAGAAAACATCCACAACTATTAAGGTACAAAACCCACACCTCAATGGACCACCATGTTCATCTGTTTCAACTTCATCAACAATGAAGTCAGCCATTTCATCTTCTTCACCAAGCAACTTGTCCTCGTTCAGCAGCTGCTCATCAGCACTATCCTCTAGAAATGAACCTAGAAGATGTTGAGAATTTCCAATTATCCTAATAAAGCAATCAATTTCATTGCGACCAATGATAAGCTCTGGTTTTTAAAACCTACCATCATCATCCCCAAATATAGTTCGCTTTAGCTTCTCCTCTGCCGTTCGCCTAGCCCTTCCCCTTCTGTCATATTCTTCCTCATCAAAAAACATTGATGGTCCTTCATCAGCATCCATCCTTGCTTTCTTCAGCCGCTTATAATTTTCACTTCCCTAACAAATTAAAAGGCAAAAACTCATAACCTAGTTAGGAAGGAAAACAAATGTTGAAATATGACTTGAATTACAAATTGGATCAAGAGATATACAAGTTTTGGGCGAGAAAAGCCAGGGAAGTTATCTTCAAGGAGCTCATACTCATCTTCATCAAGAAGATAATTCTTGTTTGATTCTCTTTAAAATAGGCAAAAGCAGAAGTTAAAAGGGCAGTAATGCATCAACAATTAACAGTAGATCACAAACAGAATTTACCTCTTCTTCCTTCTCTTCTTTTGTTTCCCATCATCACCATCTGCCAGGTCCTCTTCTTCATCAAGATCATCCACTATGAAACCGTCTTTCTCGAACTCATCTGGTCAAGACAAGAAAAAATCATATTAGAACCTCAAACTGAATTTGAATAGATTATAAGACAGAAAAATGCAACATATATTTCAATAAAAACATGAGAGATGAAGACACCTGGAGAAATATTATACAGGCATCATCATAAAACCTAACCCACATGATTAATGGTTTCCATACAAACCCATCAGCTATTAGCCAAAAGAATTTAGCTTAACATGGTACAACAAGTTCATAATGAAAACATTAGAGATTGATTAACAAAAAAGTCATCTGTGTAAAGACAAGACTACAAACTTAAACCCAAATGACCTTAAATATGCAATACAAGCCCACCAGCTATAGACTCTCATATGAATGTATACCATCAAAACTTTTCTCAGATCTCCAACCAACTTCTACATCTGCGAAATCTACCATGAGGGAGATAAAAGAGCCTTCCAGCCAGTTCCCTCCATTCCCACGAACCACCTTTTCTCGAGTTCTTATTGCATGACAGAAACTAATTGACTTGAAGCTTTATCTCCCTAGCCCCTCCCAGATTTATATCTAACGAAGAAGAATTATTCTAGCAAGAACATTTCTAAAGCACTTGTTCAACTCTGAGTTCTAGTAGGATCCATACTATCAAAAACAGGACATTCAGGCTGCAAAAAAGAACTCCAGGAGATGGCACTTTTAGGGGTCACTCAACAGGTATGACCTAACAATATAACCCAACTATAAGTGTAAAGAACACTGGTCTCACGTGATGATGAAGCTCAGCATTATTTATTCAACGAGATGGACGGTGGGAAAGGCTTCCATTTAGTGTTCTATAAAGGGGATTAAATGCCTAAGCAGAGGCAGAAAATGAACCACCTTGATTTCTCGCTAATCAAGCAAAAAAGTGTTCAGAAAAATTATGCAGCAAGCGGGACTAGGCAGAATTAAATTGATTACCTGTACCAGATAAGACTGATGCGTTTGGAAAGGGAAAAATACCAAGAAAACTCAAACAAAAAGCAGTTGTTTTCGTTTTTTATGGTTTACGCCTGTTCCAAGTTCACAGTTATATTTGCTAGAAACTCATACAATAACCAGTTAACTACAGAATGTTTGCTACCTTTAAAACATTTTTCAGCAAAAACTAAAAATATTTAGCCAGGATATTTAATATTGAATTTTGTGTGGTGCTTGGTAATTAGATAACTTATTTAATGCATTTCTATACATTAAATCTTGCTCGGTTAATGCATCCAGCTTTATGATTTGCTTAAATCCCTGAACTCATCAATGCTCAGACAACCGCCTAGCATTTTTAGAAGACATTGCTTCCATGCAACCTGAATGTAATTTTTTTCTCAACTAATCATAACCATAAATTACCAAGAGAAATAAGAATGAACTTCCTTCCTTGACAAATAAGCCTACATCTACATTGCAGATGAAAGATCAGGAATGAAGCATTAGAAAACACCCAGCATATGACACATGCTCAATAGATGCTATCATAAACAATGTTGAAAAATAAAATGAAATCGAAAACCAAGGTCACATAATGCCTAAAAAACACAAAGGAAACAAGATGACACACTTTAAATTGGCATGCATACAAGTAGTGCAAAAGACCTAGAGATAGCAAGTAATGCTCCACCAAAAACAAGTTAAACTGAATAAACATCGAGTACAAGTTAATTCAGAAAATCAGCACCGAGAATATATAATAAAGAAAATACCCACAATCATGCAAATACATACCATCGTCTTCATCAACGTATTCAGGCTCTACCATCTCGTCGACTTCAACTTCTATCCCATCGATGTATACAAATATAAATATAGATAAGTAGAGAGCAAAATGAAAGAAAAATACTCGGTAAATGCAAATCAAAATCAGAGTAAAGTCACCTTCTTGTTTTGACTTCCTGGATTTTCTGGCCATTATGCGATTGTGTGAAAAACCAGACGTGCAAAAGCAAAAACCCTAACAATCCGCGGGAAATGACGTCTTTCGACAAAACCCTAAGCTCACAAACGCTAGGAAACAACTTCTAGTCGCTTCACAGAAGGGGGTTTCTACTGGAAGGGAAAGAAGATCATACGAAAGTGGTAGGAATGAGTGCGTTGTTTTATGCAATCACAATGTCCAGATTACCATGAATGATGATTTCGTGTGCTACTACCCTGAACTTGATCGTACATTGCTATGAAACCAAAATCCTTCAGACATTGTCGCTACTCAAACAACCATTAGAACAATAGAACCCAAACCCTCAAACAAACCATCGCCATGAGCTTGTATGCACCTCAGTCATCAACATTTTCAAAAGGTGGAAACTCCGAACTCGTGCAAACCCTATACAACTCCAAAGGAAAATAGAAGGTTTTGAAAGACCACACTGATTTCTGAATTTAAAAAGGAGTAAACTACAACTTTGGTCCCTATAGTTTGTACAAAACTATGAAATTGGTCCCTGCTTTGCAAAAACCGCAAGAAATGGTACATAAGTAAATTCAAGTACTGTTTATTGATGCATAATACTTAAAATTCAAGATTACAAATAAATTGTATATAAGTACAACTTATTATAGCTCAATATTTGAATTTGTGTATATAACTGCAAACAAACATAATTAAATACAGGATAAATATTTCATTTAAAATATAAAATATCTAAAATATAATTAAGATAATTATTGTGTTCTAACAGAATATTTAATTATTATCTTTATAAACAATTATACTTCTAAATCAAATTTATATTTTACTAAAAAACAAAAATATTATCGTTTTTTAAAAACTACATAGAACCGTATTATAACATCAACAAAGAACAGAATAAAACGAAACATTAAAATCGAGATGTATTTCACTGCATTACGCAAACACCATTCTAGTTTTTTTATTAACACATGTATTGATTTTTTCGGTATGATATCAAATAAATAGTTGTTCAATTAATGTTATACTAAATAAACAGTTTAAATGCTATAAATAATCATTTTATCTCTCGGTGTATATTAAATCCCAATTAAAATAATCATTTGATTAAATATGTTAAATAGTTGATTTTGAACACAGATATTAAAACTGGCCAGTCGTCAGCCCCCATACATGGTCTTACAACTTTGCGGAGACCTGTGTAATAGCTTACCAAGGCGATGATCAATAGTTGGTTCATTGAGGAGTTACTCGGAATGATGCCAAGGTATCAGTATTCGTGGCTTCATAGTCCAAAGTATAATAAATCAGATAAATAATTTAAAATTTTGACCAAAAAATAATTCCTATCTCATCTAAAGATAAATAAATCAAAGTCCGAGCACTAAATTAGGGATCATTTAATAAGTAATTCAACCAAAAACAAAAAAAAACAAAAATTGATAGTCGGCAACAATGATAGTCAAATCAATCTATAATATAGGAGGAACAAAATCATAATGCTTGAGTCACTCGGGTTGAACAAAAAGAAATGAAATTGAGCAACACCCATTGTGATCTAACCCTTTTCTCCAAGCCCAAACCAGATGAAGGCAAGGTTTGTAGCCTTGCCCTCATATGGTTTAGAAATATAATCTTTGTACAAATTGAGAACATCAGCAACCATGGATCGAGGGAGGGAGCAGTGGATTCAATAAATCGTACAATCATACAGTAACAATGGTAGGCATGGGAATGGGTCCCGACCCGTCGTGGAACCCGGTCCATCCACCCCAGTCGGGGACGGGGATTCCCTCGCTAAATTAGAGATGGAGATCCCCGTTTGTCTCAAACAGGCGATGGGGACAGGGACGGGGACGGGTAGCGTACTCCCTGCCCCACCTCGTAACCGTTATATATATTAATTAATAAATTATATTTAGATATATATATATATATATATATATATGTGTGTGTGTGTGTGTGTGTATATTATTTATTTCAATTAAAGTGATACTTCATAATTTCATATTTCCTAACTATGTTTATAATCAAAATTTGTTATTTTTTGTATGTTAATATGTAACATTTTGGATGTCAAGTCAAAATACAATTACTCGATAAGTTTTGGATAAATATTCGATATGGTTTTATATTACTCAATGTCTTTTGTTACATGTGACTTTAAGTTTTTTTTGGATTAAACTGAATCTTTTATTGGTTTTAGGTTATTAATTCTTATATGATGTTGTGCTTTTTTTGTATCAAATTAAATTCATTTTTGTTTTAGATTTATTGAAAATGTTTGAGATTTAAACATGTATGGTCTCTCACATATTTTGTAACATCTCGCTTGAGCAAACCCTAAATTGCCAATTTTATAAAATCTCCAATAAAATATAATTTATTGATTGTTGGGACCAAAATTGATCTTAATTATTCTAAAAGTTTTGTCAAATCAATCGGGGCCAAGGATGGAAAATCTGAAAATGCTGCTGAAACGACTAAGTCTGGAGGAAGACTAGAGGCGATGAATTGGTCCAAAGGCAGGCGATGGACCAGAGGCTGCTAAAATGACCAAGTCTGGAAGAAGACCAGAGACGATGAATTGGTCTAGAGGCGATGAAGGTCCAGAGGCGATGAAGGTTCAGAGGCCATGAAGGTCCAAAGGCCATGAAGGACCAGAGGCTATGAAAATGGACCAACATTTTGAAACACACATATTTGGGCATAACATTAATTAACCACAAAATATGGGATATTAATTTCTAGAAAAACTTTGAAATATATGTTTTATTTTAGTGATAAAACCACCCAAAACACAATTCCAAACCGGATATAACGGATTTTTTTTTACTTACAACCCGAATTAAGTAGCAAAAGAATATGGGACATGACTATATATAAGCTACACATACTACAACTATGAGATACGATAATAAGCTACTATTTACCCAAAAGCAAGATCGAAATCTTCAAGTTTTCCGATAAATCTTCGAGTCAGACAACAGGTTCTTTCTTTTTATCCGTCTTCTTTCCTGAGAGAGGTTGCCACTTAAATGGTAAGCCAACGCTTAGTGAGTTAAATAATAAAGTATTACATACCAATATCGCATATGTTTATAAACATACATAATAAACTCTTATCAATAAAAGAGTTCAAGACATCATCCAGATGCAAACCGAGACTTACAAGAAACCGAGTGAACAATTACGTACCGATCATAGGATTCCATATTCAAATCACCATAATATACCATACCATTGATGCTCAATACAACAAGGAGACAGGATCAACAACCAAATATACTCAACAACGTTAGAATACCAATAAATATCAAGAACCAAGAGATCGAATCGGTAAACATAACGAGGACAGTGCATCATCCTTCACCTCCCGGGCTCATGCTAAAGTCTGAGTCATAATCATACATTACGAGAAATCTCGCACTGCCCGCCTTCCTCTACCGGGTATGTGCCAAGGTTCCCTACTCATTGCTCTTCCTCCTCTTCGAGCAGTGAGTATTCACAACCGCAGAAAGTCTCACCCGTCCAACCCAGGATCTTGACATCGCCATAAACTTCCAGCGTACCACACGAAGTAGTACCCGTACTATGGCGTACAATTCAAGGAACAAAACAACGAGTCTGGATCCAGAAAGCAAACCGATGTACCGAGATAGTAATAAGGAATCGACCCAAGAGACGGAATCAAAGACAAATCAAGATCGTGTGACTCCATTCAAGACCAAAAACATTCATATAAAAATATATATGTTCAAATCAATATGTAACAATTAACTATATAACTCACCGGGCAACCGTATAATACCGAAAAGCTCTAAAATGAGCTCACAAAGAAAGTCCAAGCTACCACACTTAGATTGCTTCCAAAACATCAAAATATGTCCTAATTACCCCCTGGAGTAAATGTACAAAATCTCATAAGCAATCAATATAAGAAACTCATGATATACACATACCCTATTTGAATATTTTACTTAAATTTCTATGTACAACTGCTGCATGTAAAACTATTTTGTCTATTTTAAACTCGAATTCATGCCTTGATCATAAAATAAGAAATAAACTWGACTCAATTATCTAACTAAGGAAATTGGCCTCACCTCATTTGGATTTTTCTATGATTTTATACAGATTTTCAAAGTCTGCACACTTTCAATGCATTCTTAAGTCGAAATTCTCATTTTCATACATTTTTCTCAA